ATTTAAATTATCTAATACTATTTTAGGCCGGGGGTGTGCGATAGACTTACCTCCACGTGGTGCACCCTGGGCAACGTATACACATACGGCAAAAAAGTCTATTAATCGGCAGTTGACTTCTGACTTCAAACTACCAAGACCCCACTGCATTTCATATTCGACTAATTCCGTCCCCCCATCTCGACTTTTTGCCACTTTGGTGTTCCTCTTCCTTTCTGTGAAGCACGAAGTCAACTAAAGGGCTAATGATACCTATCATAAAGCCTGCCATTTGAAATAAATATAAATAAATTTTAGGCCTTCCCAAATTAACACGCCTCAAAACTAGCGCCAATCTTGTTTTGCAAAAGAAAAGTGTGACACTGTAGTGCCAATGATTATTATCGTTTCCTAAAATATAATCTCCTATCTTGGTCGGACCCCCTCGACAGAAACATCCTCTGATGATCTGCATATTTACTTGTGCCTCCAGGCTACTTAAGTGGCACTTGGCCGATAGCTGCTGTCTCAGTTCTCCCTGTCGTATGCGCATATCTGTCGAAAAGAAGCCAACTTTCGTGCACTACTGCAGGGATTACCGCCCTTCAGGCGTACCCATTATTCTCCTTTGTGGAAGCAACAGCACGTATCGCAGTACCACACAAATGCTTATAAACGGACACAGCTACAGGTTATGCTCAAGACACTACCCGCCTTCACCAATTGGCTTAATAATGGCAGGTCTTCCAGCTGGCCATTAACCGGATTCTTCAACCTGGATCATTACAACTCGTTTTCCTTCTAAAACCCAAAGCGCAGACGGGGCTCCGGAACCAGTGTGCTAATTGAAGATAAGAATCGACTCATTAAATGTTTGCTCATAAATTGCATGTTTTTTCTATTATACTTTCAGACATCAATTAACGCATTTCAGCTACATCACAACCCAAACTTGATGAAAAAAGGTGTTTATTAAAAGATTACTCTTCACCCAACATTTTAACACAATCACACACTAGGGAACAAGGGAGGCGGAAACAACGAGTTCCGTTTGGAAACAGGTGCGGATAAATGAGTGAATCGCGACAGTACTCAAGTTTTATCAAAAAACGGATACCGACTGAAGACATTCTCTTCTTAGCGCAGAGCAATGATACCAGCATCAATGAGCTTAGTGAGTTTTGCAGCAATATCGGGATTTCTGAGATGCTCACGAAGAGCACTAGGGTCTTCGTTCATTTGATTAAGAATCAAGCGCATAGCGGGATCAGAGAGGATTGCTTGGACTTCTGGGTCATTTGCCGCCCTCTGACGAGCTGCCTCCTCATCGGGTTCAGTGGCCATGCTCTGCAACAGCCCATCACGAGCCTCGGAGCAGTTGGGATCCAATTCCAGCGCCTTTCTATAATTTTAACAGCACCGGTTTTTAGAATTACAGAAATAAAACTAGTACTTTGGCATGTGGACATTCAGGTATATTAGACAGGTATAGTAGCACCTCAGTAGTTATGAAAATGGAGGGTGGCACCACCCAATTTATCAAATGAAATAGAACTCGATTGTAGAATACGCGATAGTACAAACAGAAACGGAAGCTGAATGATTAACAATCGGGACAAAGAGATCAAAATATCTTCAAGCCCCAAGTAAACCTAACAAGAGCGAAAGATCGCATTCTCCTCGGGTTTAACTAAACGCTTTTACTGTTAGTCATAGCAACAAGAAAAACGTACTTCGATGTATGAGAAGCAACTACAATTAGTTAACATAAAGACTAGAGGCAGACGAAGGGATCATTAAAATGAAAATAGGAAAACCGAAGTACTATGGTCAGATCTCACTTGATTTTGGACTCGGGTCGTAAAATATTTGCCTACGACGTTCAATACTTTAGAAACCAATTGATTTAACAAAGAGTCGGTCTTAGCATTTCAATTCACTTGCAATACACAAAACGAATAGATGACTTCTCCTTATATAGTGCCCACTTTTCCAACCAGTGGACTGAATTTTACAAATTAAGAGAAAGCAGATCATTTTAGCACCGTCTTGGTTACTGTTCATGCCACCAATGATGAAAATCAATCTAAGAGCGATAGGAAGGTTCCGATCAGATTAAGTGGAAATATCTAAGTCCCATTAATGCATCGCAGTTAAATAAAAATACACAATGCTGGTCTTCCAAGTATGAACTCGGTCAACTTTACAATAGTTAATCAACTGACTCATTTCTAAGATTTGCCGATTAAGGACACAAATAAGAAGTCCAACATTAGAAACAGCTAAGCATCTATTTAGAAAAAAATACACACAAGGCCTTAATTCCAAGAGAAATGACACGTTGATGAAACCCTAACTTACTTTTCTTCAACCAGAAAAGTAAAAAACTTAATTTTTGAACAGCTCTAATTATCTTCCTTTGGCGTAAGAAATAAAAATTAAAGAAATTTGAAATGTCACTGAAACTACTTTTAGATATCAAACATAGAATACAAAGCACTTAAAAATAGCATTACAGAAAAAGGCTATAGCAGAAATTTCGAGAACGCAAAAGAAGCCTGCTCTCAAAAGCACACACAATAATAAGTCAAGAATTCTTAAATTCCCTAACAAAAGGAAATGCCTTAAACCATAGACACCTTTATATAGGGGAAGTGAAAATCAAAAAAATGTGGGGAGAAAATCTTAGACTTTTTTGGGGAGAAGTACTTAGCGGGCGTAAGCTGAGTCATCAAGGTTAGAAACCCGAAATTAAACGACGAAAACAGATATTGAGACAAACGTAAACTAATACCAAAATTTAGAAACCAAATATCCAGTGAGAAGAGTTAACAATGAATGACAAATAACACATAAAGAAAACGTATTTGCTAAAATTGCATTGATAACATTGAGCAGGCGAAAAATAAGCGACAAGAATTTACTCAGCTGGTAGAATGGAAGCTATCATTAAAACAGACAACAGAACAGTCGGCTAACTAATTAAAAATTGAACGCAGCCACAAATAAATAATTCACCTTAAAATCATTACCAAATTATACATATGGGTAGTCTACAACTTTAGAGCATTTTAACCTAAAGTACACAAGATAAGTTAAAACACTGATGTGGAGAGCGAATAAAAAATGGTGTTCCAAATCATCTCATGCCATGAAACAAGAATTAAAAAACTAAAACAATTAAGTCATAAACAATGACTCACAACCTACCTATAGGCACCTCTCGCACCAGCGATATCCTTCATAGCCAAAAGACAGGAAGCTTTACGAAGATATCCCTTGATGAAAGTTGGATCAAGTTTTATACAAGATTCACAGTCCTTCAACGCACATGCGAATTCCATGAGTTTTGAATAACAAGCAGCTCGGTTGCTATAGAGCTTTGCATCATCAGGATTTCTTTTAATAGCTTCATTGTAGTGCTTCATGGCAGTAGGAAAATCACCTTTTGAAAAAGCGGCATTTCCAAGCTGCTTTTCCTGCTCTGCCAACTCGGGATCGATGTAGGCTTTTCGTTCCATCTCCTTTATTTTCTTGTCCAAAGCTTGAGCAGCTTTTATAATCTCCGGAGATCGGTGTTCTGAGAGAGCCTTATCAAGGTACTTCTTTGCGTTTGTCAAATCATCCTGTTTCTCATAACAACGACCGATTCTAAAAAGCGCCTTAGCAACCAATTTGAAATCAGCCCGCAGATCACGAGCTAAATCGACCGCCTTCTCACAGACCTTAATACACTCAGCAAAGTCACCCATTTCAAAAAAGACGGCGGATTTGTTGGTCAGAAAAGTGACATCATTTGGATAGAGTTCAAGAGCTTTGTCGTAATGGGCTATAGCAGTTTGGAAGTCTTTCTTTTTGTAAGCAGCATTTCCTAATTCCTTTTCCTTTAATGCAGCAGCCTGTTCTTCAGAAATTGTTGGCTTTTCCGTTTCAGGTTCCTTCTTAGGAGTCGGAGCAGGAGCTGATTCTTTATGCTGACAACAATTATTCTCACATTCATCGGTCTCCATAGCTTCAGGCCCACCCAGAAGGACAGATACAGTCTTCAAAATTTTTTCATCCTTCATGAGTACGTTAAGCAAGCTTGGATTGGATTCAATCAACTCAAGAGTTTTTAAGTAGCTTGGGTCCTTCGCATATTCCTTCAATTCAGGGTGGTTAAGGGCACGGCTTTTCAGACCAGCGAAAACAATGTAACCCCTGACATTAAGGAGACTGTGCATAATACTTTCGTTGTTGGGGTCAAGCTGGCTAGCTTTTGCATAAGCTCCTTCGGCCTCAGAGTATCGTTTGAGGAACTCAAGAGCAGCACCTCTTCGAGTGTAGCCTTTTGCCCATGAATCATTCAGTTTAATACACTCATCAGCATCTTTAAGAGCCTCCTCAAATTTTCCCAGCTTCGCGTAGGCAGCAGATCTGTTGCTATAAAGAACATGATTATTGGGATCTTGTTCAATTGCACTGGTATAACAATTAATGGCGTCTTCAAATTTTCCTTCTTGGAGAAACTGATTGCCTTTATTTTTCAAATCTGTTGCTGAAGTCATCACGTGTGTACCACCGAAAGAAACAAACAGAAGTGAGGATATAGACAAACTTTGCGCGGAACCAGTGGGTTGTGATTGGGTGATTTGAAGGCAAACGCGACAATCAATCAGAATCTGACACCTGATTGGCTTATTCAATTTGTGCCGTCGAAATAAAAACCTTCTAGAACAAAGCTCATGTAAAACAAATATTAGCTCAGATTTATAATTCTGCATTAATTTAAGTAAAGAGCCTATTGCATAAATTTTAAATTTATTAAAATAAGATTTTTTACGTTATAAATGCGGAACCATAAAATAGGGAGATTTTTAGTTTCCGTTAGACTCTTGATCAGTTCCCTTTCAATGAAGTGACTAATTTATTTAAACTGTAATGTAGTTGGAAAGTGAAATAAGAAAAGGAATAAGCCACCACCTTGTCTTAATCGTGATTCTCTCATCTCGGACGCGTAGCGCAATGTTGAGTATTTGCTCTGATTCAGTAAAGATCCACACCTGTGGTAGTTGTTAAACAAATTTGCCTTGAATAAACCGCATCATTTCCTATAGCGAAATCCTTAATTACACGATTAACTTTTTCACTCTGGATTCAAGTGCACATGCTTTTGTTTGAAGATCTATTTTCAGATGATTTTTATGAAGTGCTTGAGATACGATGTCTTTGGTAAGCATTTATCTTACAGCATAAAGTACATTAGAGTAAAAAGTTGGTAGATAGAGGTAATTCTACGATGAAATGCCGTAACTGCTACGAACCACTATGGTTTCAGGTATACATATGTTGAATATTTCCTTTTGTATTTTGTCCTGATTAAAAAACTTTACCGACCTACAGCAAAACAATATTGAAACCAAATTAAGAATAACTCATTGCCAAGTTGTACTTTTCACTTACTTCATTCAGTTTTCTGTTATGTTGTCTTAAAATTCAATCAAATTACTAATTTTTTTTTTATAATGAACTGTATTTCGTTTCATTTTTCATAATTTTAATACACACTTGATGTCGCATACTTTTTAGGTTTCTCTCAGTTCTTTGGCAATTCTTTGGAGAAAAGCAAGTTGCTACATGTGCAAGGACCTAAAAGGGAACAATATGATGTTTTTGCATTCGCACTGTTCAGGGATTTTGCATCAACTAATGGATATATTTATATTAAAAGACGCCCTACTTTCTTAATTATAAGGACTAATTTTCAAGACGATTACATAATTACTAAGGTTTTAGGAGATCAGTCTCAGGCGAAGTTCCTCAATCAGAACAAATTGGTTGGGGGGAATGCCATTGATTTTTATAACTTTTCCCTAACCATTTTTATGGTAGTGTCAGCTGTTAAGGTGCTGATAAAAATAAGCTCTACCTGCTTCAATTTTTCTCATCCTGGTATCGATAAATGAAGCATGATATTCGTGCAAGAGGTTGTTGATGAGAAAGTGTTTACGTTTCATCAGCATGGAGAAGAAATGTGTACTAGCGGCTATATCTAATGTCAAATTTCAAATATGTATCACTCAAATTTATGTGTGTTGTTAAATCAACCTGATTTGCTGATGACGACTTTCACTTCGAAAAGATTAGCAACCCAGACATAATTATGAATCTCATTCACTTCAACGAATAAAAATTAGGGAAATGCAATAGTGTCGATCATTTTTTGATACTGTCAGCCAATTACAATACTGAATTATGAAATCAGCAAGGTGTAGTGTAATTAAGGTTATAAATTTTAACACAATTAATACATTAATATAATTTAAGCACATGACTTAAGATTATTCATTTACATATCCTTGAAATATTTACTGAATCTAGAGACTAGATCTGCACATTCATTCTGTATAAATATGCTTTATAGGCAAGTTTTTTAAATTAATAAATGTCATTAAAGTAGTTAGATATGTGACCTGTTTTATAAGATCAATAAAAAAATTAATACAGAAGCAGGAAAATAGCCTTATTAAAATCCAGACAAAAGAAGTAGAGCGAGAAAATTTTACATTGGAGACATTGAGAGAAATGAAAACCACTGAGAGGAACTGATGATTAGAACCGGCAATATGCACACTTTCAAATTAATACTGCAACACCATACCAGATTCAAGAATGGTATATTGATTTATCAAATCCCGCTTGGCAACAGCATTCGCAGCAGTCTACTCAAATGCGATGGTCGTAGTAATTATTGCAATATTCTAGGGTGGGATACTCATATAGGTATTATGAAACAACTCGAAAATATCGATGTGGCCTATAGCTATTTTACTAGGAAATACAATGGATTCAACTTTCTTCATAAATTTTCACATGCTTTTTTACAATGATATGTTATTTAAAAAAGTCTCATTGGTTGAAATGGAAATTTGCTGCCCCAAGGTTATGCCACTATAGCCTAGTGCAGTCAAACAAATCTCCATCAATTACTGTGAAATTTTTATAAGTAGAAAAATCAACTTGCAATTATGCCTCGTGTTATTGCATTATTACTCTGGCTATGTGAGAATCTTTCCTCTTACACAATTTTTAAATGGCTTGAGGGAAATATTATTCTACATTAATGATATAATTGTAAAGTTAATTCTGTTTCAAAACCCATAAACTTGTTCAAGCTGAATCAATTATTGCAAATATGTTAACAGATAATCAAGTGTATGTTAGACGGGAAGAAACAGAAAGTTGCTAAGATCAATCATATACCAATGCGTAAAATTCTTACTGATTTCGGATTAGATTTGTGCAATGTTCACTAAATGGACATTTCATGTTGCGACAAAAAATTTTCTATTCATCCCCTGGTTTTCTACAAGTGCTTGTTTTTTATTACGTGCTTATGAATTCCAGTTCCACTTCTTAAGTTAATTTCTTCCAATGGTTTACAGTGGTTAGCAACCTTACAATAGCAGGGATGAGATTACTAAAAACATGAAGTGGCTTAATTTCTTTCCTACTAAACTCAAAGGTAAGGCAGGGCCATTAGGGAATCTCAAGGGTCTACTGCTGCAACTAATTATTAATTGGAAATATTAAAAAAGAGCGCCGTAAGCCAAATCCAAGTAAAAGGTAGCCGGTCAATGCATTGCGTTGGTCGGTGATTACTGTTTAAAATTCGTATTAAGTTGTGGGGATAAGGATCAAGATTTAAAATTATTATTATTATTATATCAAATTGCAGGCGTCTTGATGATTATCATGAGCCCTTTAGTTGACTTCAGACTTCACAGAAAGGAAGGTACATCAAATTGAAAAAAATCTAGAGGGGGGGGGGACTGAAGAGTGTTTCAAAGATGTAAGAGACAAACACAAAGGTAGAACAAAGGTGAGGTGAGTACTATGGAAGTAGTCGAATATGACATATAGTAAGGTGATGGTAGTTTAAAGTGAGAAGTCAACTTCCAGTTAATAGACTTTTTTGCCGTATGTGTATACGTTGCCCAGGGTGCACCACGTGGAGGTAAGTCTATAGCACACCCCACAAGTTTTAAAATAGTTGCCGGATTGTCTCGTTTGTTTTTTTATAGTAATCAAGGTAATTTAATTTAGCAATATTTCTTAGCGTAATGTAGTGTTAATTTCTATAAATCTTTAAGAATATCGTGGTTCATTTACGTGATATATTTCAAATG